GGACATGTGCCCTGACTGGGAATCGAACCAGGACCTCTCAGTCCATGGGATGACACTCAATCCACTGAGCCACACTGGCTGGGCCCTAGTTGACTTTTTTTTTTTTTTTTTTGGTACATGCCCCTAGCAGGAACCGAACCTGGGACTCTCTAGTCCATAGGCCGACGCTCCAACCACTGAGCCAAACTGGCCAGGGCCCTAGTTGACATTTTTAATTAGTTTGTTTTATAGCTAGCAGAAATGTAGATCAATACAGTTTTTGACAGTTTATCTTTTTTACCATACTAATTTTTCTCTAGTAATGATGTTTACTAATGCTATAAGATTCCTTTATTCTTTCTAATTAGAATAAGTTGTGCTTTTATTTATCTTTATAAATATGTTTTTATTGACTTTTTAGGGAGAGAAGAAGGGAGGGAGGGAGGGAGAGAGGGGGGGGGAGAGAGAGAGAGAGAGAGAGAGAGAGAGAGACATCGATGTGTCTGAGAAACACCAGTCAGCTGCCTCCTGCACACCCCCTACTGAGGATCAAGCCTGCATCCTGGGCATGTGCCCTGACCTGCAATCAAACCCACAACCTTTTGGTACATGGGATGATGCTCAATCCACTGAACCTCACCAGCCAGAGCTAGAATAAGTTATGCTTTTAAATAAATGTACATTTTGAACAAAGTGAAAGCATGCTATGAATTAAAACAATACTTTTTTAATATCTTTGGGGATAAGGCATCTGGTGTTCTTATAAAGCATATGAAGTTGTTGAAAAAAAACAATTTTTTTGTGAAATATGGATAGTTATCTATATAAAGAAATCAAGTGAAATAGAAGTTCAAAGATCTTTCTTATAATTGCTGGTTGAAATTCTAGCAAGCTGCTCACACGTGAAAACCCATGTTTAAGCATGTGGTCCGGCTCCTGATGCCCCTCCTGGAGAGCCCGGGAAAGGCCTGACTGTGCCTGTCGGTTATTATTCTGAGCTTTTTCCTGTTGGCCGAGGGGCAAAGACACCTATTATTACTTATTAATCGTGTTTGACCATATTCAAACTTGGGATGACGTGGTAGCATCATCACATCTCACATGAGGACACTATTAAATATGGGCTGTGGCTTTGGTACAAAATGCTGGCATAGCTGTTGTAGTTTTTTAATTTTATAGATGCTTTAAGATGACTGTGTCCATATTTTATAGCACAAGCCATTGTTGGATGACAATGCCCACTGGCTAAGGAATAAAACTTTCATTCAAAGATCTCTTAGCCCAGTCAGAATATTGGCATTTCTCAAAGGTGTTATATATAATGCACAGTACACAGCCCCAGAGAAGATGCATTTCTACTTTTAGCCGTGGCGGATCGGCCACAGGTAAAGGAGGTACATTCTAGAAGCATCATTGACTGTTCCCTTTGAGGATAGAACTACTTTGGCCACGTATTTCACAGTGGTCTTCAAACTTAGTCAGGACCCCTGCATAATAATGAGTTACTAACCTCCTTCACAGACTCCTAGCAGTGGTGGTGAGTGATTTAAGGCCATTCCAGATGTTAACCAGGATTCAAAAAGGCGTGTTCGTGAAAAGCCCACGGAGTATTTTTGTTGTTCTGACTTATTCCTAGAGAAACTCACCCCTGTTATAAATCTGAAAGTCCTGAAGGATAGGTTTCTTCTGTCCCTCACTGGGATTTTCTGACTCATTCCAGGTAGCTGTCAGTATAGGGATGATCTGACTTTCAACTGTATTTGAGACGTTGTCAATTAAATCAGGAACCTAAGATAGAGAATTGCTTCAAAGCCCTTCATTTCAGAATGCTTATGACCATGATTTTCTTTGTGTCATTATTATTGTTGTTACTTTATTTTCTTCCCAATGCTAAATTATTTATTTATTTTTGTTACAGATGTTTCTCCTTTTTCCCCATTGACACCCTCCTCCTGTTGCCTCCCCCCTCCCCCGCCCCGACAGCATTGTTGTCTGTGTCCATTGGTTATGCATATATGCATATAAGTTCTTTGGTTTATTATTGTTACTACTTTAATCTTAGGTTAGTGACATGTGCCAGGCACCTGGCAAAGTAATTAAGCTACAAACAGGACAAAAACAGTTGTGGTTTCTAGTGTCACAAAACACCTGGAAAAGATGCAGGTTTGTTATACATGTAACCGACAGATGCATGTCTGTACTTTGTGTTAAAATCTGTTAACAGTGTTCCATATACACACGTGGCATATTTTTTGCACTTTGATGTGTTCAGAAGCTATTTACATTGTATTTTGTAGCTCTGGTTTGTTGATGGGTCTGTGATTCTTCTCCATTTCTTCATGTATACTACTGAAGAACCACTGGTCAAATGAGCTATCATTGTATCTAGTCATCAGCAGGTAGTTATGCTGAAAGTTACCGAACACTTTGTGAATTACAGATCTCTTTCTACATCTGTCATTTCAGACAAATTATGATGGCAAGTATTTCATTCAAATTTTTCAGGGTAACCAAATATTGGAGACTATAAGTCATTTTTCCCAGGTCACTCATCCTGGTCTGTATGATCAATATTCCAAATGGGTTACTTTGGCTACAGAGTTTCTGCTTTGATCCAAAAGGAGACACAAAGACCTCATAAACATCAACTAGAAAACATTTATATATGTATATATAAATGTTTACGAAGTACATTACCACATTAGAAATGTAAAACACTGATTTAAATATGAGTGTTGTTGATGTGAGAAAAACACTTTCTTCTACTTTATTTTTCAAACAGGAGTAGAAACTCATTGCTTCTGAGACATCATTAGTTGATTTATTTTTCTTGTTCACAGCACTAGTTCACAGATGTTAGCTGCCATGAATATGTATCAGCAGAAAGTGTGAACCACAACCTATAGTAACAATTGCAAATCACTTCATTTACACAGTGGGTCCTCTGTTCATGGCTACCTCTTTTTTTATCGTACGTGTGCCCTTTTACCTTAAATTTCCTTTGTGATTATTCTATCAGATGAAGCTAATTTTCTCTAGTGTCTCAAGACAGGGATAATTTCTGCTGTTTTAAGTAAATAGCATGGGTCAGTTTGGTATGCTCATTATGGACCTAATTCCATTTGTTTTGGGAATTTCTCATTTGCATAATACAAAGGAAAACAAAAATTAACAGAGCACAGACTTTAATGCAGCAGAAATCAAAGTAAAGAAGCATGAACTACTTGTATTAATTAAGTTATTCCCTTATAGTAGGTCACCCTTCTCTGTAGGGATCTATTCCAAGGCCCCTATGGTGCCTGAAACCGCGGACAGACAGTACCGAACCCTAGGTATACTGTTTTGTCCTGTATGTGCATATCTCTTCACTCAAAGGAAGCACTTTCCGACTTCTCTTTGGCATATCAGAATTGCCAGCATCACCACTTTTGCATTTCGGGGCCATTCTGAAGTAAAACAAGGGTGACGAGACCACAGGTACCATGCCAGCCAATCTGATAACCAAGACAGCAGCTCAGTGACGAAGGGGTGGGGGGCGTCTGCAATGTGAAGACCCTGGACAAATAAATGGGGGGTTCCCGTCGCAGGCAGGGCGGAGTGGGACAGGGTTGGATTTCATTCTGCTGAGAACATCATGCAACTTAAAACTTAGGCATAGTTTATTTCTGAAATTTTTCCATTTAATTTTCAGGACACGGTTGAGCGCGGGTAACTGAAGCCACAGGCAGTGAAACCATAGATAAGGGGCACTACTGTACTTTCATCCTAGGACTGAGGAGTTGAGCTCACACCTGACGGAGGAATTCCATAGACTCGTCCTGTCTGGTTTACTTGCCTAAGTTCTGCCCAAGAGCTTTTGATGAAAAAGCTCTGGACTGCTTCTCCCTGTGTCTTATTTCTCTTTTCCCAAAACATAGTAGAGTGCCCCTCAGAGTAGAGTCAGCCAAAGTTGGTCAAATTCAACATCAATTTCTATTCTTAGTTATCTGCAGCAGATGTAAATTTTTAAAGGACCTACTATATTTCACTTACTCTTTCATATTCTTTATATAAATGATTATATCAATTCTTACAGAAACCTGCTAGGTAATTATTGTTGTCATTGATAATATCCCCCTTTCTTACAGACAGTGAAACTAAGCTTGGTGAGGAGGTATTAACCACCTTAACGTGAATCACAGTGAGGCAGAGTTAGAATTCATACCCGTGTCTGTTATGTTCTAAAACTTGGGTTTTTTCCATGACCTTGTGCTGCCTCATTGTTCATAAAACATATATTGATAAATCATTTAGGACTGTATGTGTTTTGGCTCCTTCTGCAGAGAGATTATTGAAAAATAATGAAAGAGAAATATAAAGACATTAAAGGAACATATTCATTGCCCTTTGGTAAAACAGTAAAAACACCAACTATTCAAATAAATAACTCTACCAGCCCATCAAAGAAAGCGTTCTCACAGGTCATAAGAATATCTGATCCCTCAGGACAGAGTAGTTCAGGTGATAGATAAAAGGCTGATTGTGTGTTGTATTAAAGCACTTGTAAATACTATATTATGCATAGAAAGGTCAAAAATGATGAATCGAAGCCAAAATTGATTGAAGATTAGATTGTAGGGTCTTGTGAAAGGGAGGAGACGATATGTGAATAGAAGAATATCTATGTTGATATTCTTAATCCCCTGTGATGCTCATAAAATAAGAGTCCTGGGACTGTCCCACCCAACCCCAAAACATCTGGAGCATGGGAACTGCCTATCTATCAAACACTCTAAGATGATAAGTCATAGACCACACTTTGGGGAAATACTGTTTTGGTCCAGTCTTTTTATTTATAAATGAGCATGAGGCTTATAAGGGACAAGGGTTATCCAAAGTTTGCTGTACTTACTTTCATTAGAGCTTTGGTGGCTAAATCAGTCTCCTCGACGCCCAGCCCTGTCCTCTTTGATACTTGGATTTAATTGTTCCAGCTCTAGCCATGGACCAGCTAACAGCATATATCATCATTTCTCTTCTAGAATCACCACCACAGCTGCCTGCATGATGGACCTGAGGCGGTACCCCCTGGATGAACAAAATTGCACCTTGGAAATTGAAAGCTGTAAGTTTTTCTGAGACGCCAGCTAGACTGAACTCTTGCTTTGAGGTTCTCCAGACCACAGGTCCTGCCAAGGTTCTGCTAGCTCCCTGAATCTGATGGAGGGAGGCACTCCTAGTACCCTCCCTCGATGCTGCGCTCATCCTCTTAGTCTTGTCCTTAAATCCCTGGGAGAGATGTGAAGGGGAAAAGTAATCCAGCAATAAATAGAAGTTGCTAAGAGCCTAGAAGAAAAACAAGGGCTATTCTAGCCATCTAAAGTATAGTATTGGTGCCAACTGCTCCACCACGCTTGAGACAATAGGTGATGGTGGCCGAGGGACACAGATATCCTAATTAGTTTTGCCTCTCATAAGCATGATCACTTTTCAGTTGCAAAATAAATGTGGCCTTCTGAAACAGCTGAAACAGTCATAGGATGTAGATCGGTGGAATATTTTCATTCCCAGGGACTATTTTCAGCGTCGAAATGTATATTCTTGCTGAAGGCATCTGATGAGCAAAATTGGTGCGTGTGTGTGTGTATCCTCTCTCCTGCGCTGACCTGCTTTGCAGTGTTGTTGCCTTTCTAGGCCAGGGTTTGTGTCCTTCACGATTCAGTCACCCACCCCGTCGGTACAACGCTGATTTCACAACCCATCTCCGTTTCAGAGGTCACTCAGGGAGGTCGTTTGAAGTGGAATCGGATTTTGAATCTCTTTTCTCTGTCAGTTCTTTGTACTGCGTTCATACCTCACCCCACCAAACAGTGGGAAGCTGGCAATTTTGTATGTAGCATCCTGGATAATGAGCAACTTGACTGCTGTGCGGATCCGCTCAGCCTTTGTCAGGAGCTCCGGCTGCGACAAGCAGCGTGACTCTAAATCACTGCTCTGAGCGGAAGCTCGGCGTCTATGACACATCATGGGCATCTTTGCCCCTTTCGAAAAACAGCTTCCAGGGACAATTCAATGTACATGCATTTTCTGAAGGACCTGATTTCATACTCGCACTCCCAAATCATCGTGATTTTCACGTTGGATCTTGGCCATGCAGAACTACTTAATAAAATCGCCCTATAGGATTTTTAGGATTATTTTTATGCAGATATCTTTGGGATTAACTTTGCATTTTCATAACTAAGCATACAGCTTAGTGCGGAATAATGTTCCTCAATGTCCAAAATGTAGTTGTTTCCCATCGTTGGCGTAAGGATGGTTTGAGAAAAAATATGCGGCTGGGTACCACTCGTGAATTTTTGCGGCGAGAGAATTTCCCATGGTAGACTTTGCCTGGAATTGTAATAATCATAATTGTACATAGTTGCAGCACTGTCGTTGATGTCAAAGCCTTGCACAGCTTTTCTACTTCAAAGAACCGATGCCAAAGGACACGGGCAAAGCCCAGTGTTCATGGAACTCAATTGTCATTGTAAGCTGAATATTGAACATTTAACATGATAATTCCTTAGACTTTGAGAAAGTTTAAATTTTATAAAGGGGCTTTCACAGATCTCATTTCAATTCATTTACCCTGTTAAATGAGGTAGAATAGATTTTTTTCCAGCTGTGTTGAGATATAATTGACATATAATAGTGTGTAAGTACGTACAAAGCGATGATTTGTTATATGTATATATTGTGAAATGATTACCACAATAAGGTTAATGAACGCATCCATCACCTCGCATAGTTACAGTGTGCGTGTGTATTGAGAGCTTTTAAGATTTACTCTCAGCAATTTTCAAGATTGTAAACTACAGTCACCGTACTGTAGATTAGATAGCCAGGTATTATTTATTTTATAGCTGGAAGTTTATACCCTTTAACCGCCTTCACCCCTCTCCCCCAGCCCCCACACTCAGTTTACTGTTTCTATGAGTTCAGTTTTCTTGTTCAGATTCCGCGTACGTGATGACAGACAGCGTTCGACGTTCTCTGCCTGACTTATTTCACTCAGCATAATGCCTCAAGTTCCTTCCATGTTGTCTCAAATGGCAGAACAGTATTCCATTGTGTATGTGCACGTCTTGTCCATCCAGTCAATCATCAGCAGACATGGAGGCTGTCCCCATGCCTTGGCTACTGCAAACAATGCTGCGTGAATGAGGGGTGGAGCTCTCTCTCTGAGGGTGATGTTATTTCCTGCAGATATGTAGCCAGAAGTAGCATTGCTGGGTCGTATAGTAGCTCTGTTTTAAATTTCTGAGAATCCTTCATACCGGTTTTCATAGTAACTGTACCAGTTTACATTCTCACCAACATTGCACAAGATTTCTTTTTCTCTACATCTTCGCCCAGCATGTATCTCCTATCTTTTCTATGATACCCATTCTAACAGGTGCGAGATGATAGCTTGTCCTGATTTTTATTTGCAATCCCCTCATGATTAGTGATGTTGAACACCTTTCCATGTACCCGTTGGTCAGTTGTATATCTCCTTTGGAAAACTGTCTCGTCGGTTTCTCTGTGTATGTTTAAATTGGATTTTTTGGTTTTTTTGCTATTGTGTTGTATGAGTTGATTATGTATTTTGATTATTCATCATGTATCAGATACATTTTTTTGCAAATATTTTCTCCATTCCATATGTTGCCATTTCATTCTGTTGATGGTTTCCTGTTCCGTGTGAAAATTTACTAGTATGAGATAGTCCTGCTTTGTTTATTTTGCTTTTATTACTTATGCTTTGGGTGTTATGCTCGAAATATTATAGTCAAGACCAATGTTGAGGAGCCTTTTCCCTATGTTTTCTTCTAGGAGTTTTACAGTTTCAGGTTTTACATTGAAGTCTAATTCATTTCAAGTAACTTTTTGTGAGTGGTTTCAGATAGGTTTCTAATATAATTCTTTTGCATGTGGATAGCCAGTTTTCCCAATACCATTTATTGAAAAGACTAAATTTTCTCCATTGGGTATTATTGGCTCCCTTTTCAGATATTATTTAACAATATATGTGAGGTTTTAATTCTGAGTTCTCAATTCTGTTTCATTGGTCTACGTGTCTGAATTTTTGACACTTTTTGTGGCTTAACATATGACTGATTCTCGAAAATGTCCCATGTGTGCTTGAGAAGAATATGTATTCTGTTGCTGTTGGACACAGTGTTCTGTGTATGTCTGTTAGAGCTATGTATTCTGTTGCTGTTGGACACAGTGTTCTGTATATGTCTATTAGAGCTATGTATTCTGTTGCTGTTGGACACAGTGTTCTGTGTATGTCTGTTAGAGCTATTTAGTCTATAGCAGGAATTTTCAACCCATGTGCCATCGCAGGACACTGACCTCTTTTCCTTTAGATTGTCAAATGAAAAATGACAACAGCCAACACAAAAAGCTGTCCATTGTGAATGGGTAACAATTATACCCTTTTTTTTGGTCATATCAGCAAAAAAAAAGTATATTTTGGTGTGCCGCAGAATTTAAGTAATTGTGTGTGCCATGAGATGAAAAAAAAGGTTGAAAATCACCGGTCTATCGTGTTGTTACAATCTACTGTTTCCTTATTGATTCTCTGTCTGGGTGATTTATTCGTTGCTGAGAGTGGGGTATTATAGTCCCCAACTATTATTGTATTGTGGTTTATTTCTCCTTTTAGGTCTGTAAGTATTTGCTTTATATATTTAGGTGCTCCAGTATGGGTGCATAAATATTTAGGATTGTTATACTTTCTTTATGAATGTACCCCTTTATTACTATATAACGACCTTCTTTGTCTCCTGTAAGCATTTATAGCTTGAAGTCTATAGGGGAGGTGTTAATATCCCTGCCTTTACAACCAGGGAAACAGACTCGAAGAGGTAAAGTGACCCTCCTAAGTCCCACGGCACTGAGAGGCAGGATCTGAGCTGATGTGGTCACTGATAGCTGAGTTGTGTTAGCAAAGTCACTGACTTTGGAGAGATCTGATTAACAGTAAGATCACTATTCTAGAAATCAGGAAAATAGCCTGTCCTTACAAAAAAATTGAGGCTTACCTGGCCAGTGTGGCTCAGTGGTTGAGAGTGAACCCATGCACCGAGAGGTCACTGGTTTGATTCCCAGTCAGGGCACATGCCCAGGTTGTGGGCCCAATCCCCAGTGGGGGGCATGCAGGAGGTGGTCAGTCGATGTTCTCCCTCATAGGTGTTTCTATCTCTCTCTCCCTCTCCCTTCCTTTTTCTCTAAACATTAAAAAAAAGGAGGCTTATTCATATTTATTTGAAAATAGCCTGTCCTTAAAGAAAAATTTGTATTTATTTAGACAGCAAATCATTATTATAGAAAATGAAATATGGTGATATATTAATAATATACATAAGTATCCAGGCCTTGTCATTAGAAGCAGGTAATTAACTTACTGAGCATTTGAAATTAGGATTCGATCCTTTAGACAACTAGCTTGGAAGTTGATTCCTGATATTCTACCTTATTCATTTATTCTTTTCTGTTAAGCGAACTCTAGGAATTCATTCATTCTCTTCCTTCCTCCAAGCCATCTGTCTTCTATGTATTTTTCTTCTTCCCTCCCTCCTTCCTTGCCTTTCTTTTTCCTCTCAAATGCACTTGACTCTAATAGGGTATTGCTAAATCCTTTTCACCTTGTCTCCTTATCAACAATTAGTATATTGGTTTGATTTTAGAGAGGATGATATAACTTGATCCAGGGCAGCTGGGAGTGGGGGAATATTGACTTTAGCTCATTGTTCATTCATTCATGAATTTACTCATTCATTAAATATTTATTGAGCACTAATTATTTATAAGGCATTGTAATAAGCTCTAAGAATATAATGGTGGACAAAAGTGGACAATACCCTCGCCTTCCTTTATTATGCCGAGGATGGTAGGTTGTGTTTCAATAAGTACATGTGAGAATGTAAAATCCCTTTCATGAAAAGTGCTGCCGAGATGAAAATTTAGTCTAGTGAGATCTTAAAGAAATACTAGAGGAAATCTCGAAATAACGTGCTGATGTTTCTAGAAAGGCAGAGCACTGTGCTTACTTCAAAACTGTTCTTAAATTTAGAGGAATGGGACGTTTTG